TACTCGTTCCTTTATTTTAAACCTTTACAGAATGCAAATGACGTAACGGTTTGTTTTCACATTTACAACATAAGACGAACATAATATGGACTTAATCTGACACAAAAAACCCCCAAAATTACATTTTTATGGCAGGTCCCCTTTAAAAATACTAAATAAACGATTAAAATATTGACCAAACATTTCTAAACCATTTCTGTTACTAAGAGTAAAGTTATGATTCATAGTCAATAAATAAACAGTTTGTTTAAATAAACAGTCTGAAAAGTTGTTGGTCTAAAGCAGCGTTTCTCAAAGTGTGTGGCCCGCCCCCCTAGGGGGGCGCGGAGCCATCCCTGGGGGGGCGCAAGTCACCCGGCTACAAATAGGTTGGTGTGCACCCACGATAGCGCGCCACCTCCTGTGCAGGCACCGCGCTCGTCATGCATGCGCCATACTGAACTTGCCACACCAGTAGGGGGAGTCCAGCGCCCTAAACCCTGTTTCTTTATTTTACCGCGAAGAAGCAGCGTTTGTTGTGATGGACGCTCAAGACGAGATACTTGTCAGGTGTTGTGCTGTAGAATGCACCCCTGCCGTAAAATGCCCCCCCGACGGGAGCGCGGTTGAAAGTACTTAACAAGGCGAAAATAATTCAAGTTTTCCTTACCATTGGATGAATTCAAAAGCATCTGCCTTTAATAAATTCATTCAGGCTATTCAGATAAGCCGAAAAAATAACCCTCTGATTTGGAATATTTTCTGTCCCGAAAATGTAATGTTCGCTAGCTTGACAGCTTACTGTACAGTTTATATACCCAAGCACACCGCCGTATGTGCAGTTTTGAGACACATAAAAACAGAACGAAAGTTGTCACGATCAAATACTCGTGTCTTTTTAAAATATGAGATCATTTTCTTCCACTTTAAGAAGTCAACAAGTGGAGGGGATGCAGGGGGTGCATCTATGGCAGGGGTGCATTCTACGGCATAACACCTGTTAAGTATGCTGCTATCCCCACCTGTACAATGTCCTCCTGAAAGCGTACAAAGACGCTTTCTGCTGTGCTAATTCATGGTGGGAACTAGTTCAGAAACCAGGGTGGAGATAACCACCGACGCCGTGCCATGCCAGCAGCTGCTCCGCTCCTCTCGCTGTGGAGAGCCCTGAGAGGAGCTGAAGCTGCTCCGTTTCGCGTTGTGCAGAGTCCGTGCCGCGGAACCAATGTTTGGACGTCGGAATTTTTTTAGCGGCGGACAACCCGCGCTTTTACCGTAACAACCAGCAACTGTGTTCAGATCTGAATAATAAATTGTATATAAAAGTACAGAATGGAGAGATATTTGACAGGGATGAAAAGAAAAGCTGAAGCCAGCAATACAGCATGCCTAGATGACGGCAGGCCAAACCAACAAAAAGCCAAGTCAAGGAAATATGATGAAGCTATCTTACTATCTTGCTCTTAGATTCACAGGATTTTTTGTACTTACTCAACTTGATATTGTTTGATTATTATTGTTCTTGCAACATAATAATAATGATAATAATAATAATAATAGATTTTATTTATAACGCACTTTACATTTGAAAACAAATCTCAAAGTGCACAACAAGACAACAATAACAGTAAAATCAAGCAACAGGGCAAAACAATAAAAACAGTCAGCAGATAAAATCAGATAAAATTAGTTCGGGTAGGCTTTCCAAAAGAGGAAGGTTTTGAGTCCTTTTTTAAAAGCATCCACCGACTGTGGAGCCCTGAGGTGGTCGGGGAGGGCGTTCCATAGACTGGGAGCAGCAGCCTCGAAGGCTGCATGTTCGTTTTCTAGTTTTGAGAAATACAGCAGAAGGAATGGTATGTCAGTAAAGTTATACATGGCCTATTTTGTCACAATTTTGTTGGGGTAGGGGGGAATGAAATTTTTTCTTCCTCCAAAGGGGGGAATGACAAAAAAAGTTTGAGAACCACTGGTCTAAAGAAACTAAAGAATAAAGGATTTATTCTGTCAGAGTGATAACTCTGCTTCTGGAGCACATAGAAAAACGGAAACATCTCATTTTAACACAAATTTCATGATTAGACAGATTAGTACATTGCTGAATGCATACGATGTCATGATCAGTCATTTGTATTCTTTCACCAAAGGAATGCAGTTTTTATCAGTACATGGTTGAGCACGGTTTTACGACCAAGGTCTGGAGGTCAGTGTCCTGCTCCTCAGAGCTTATCTTGGGGTCTGTATGTTTAAGACAGTAAATCTCAAATGGGAGACCTGGATTGAGGCATGAATGATTATTTAGATGGTCAGCGATGGCGTCAGTTTGAAAGGTAATAAAAACTCTGTCTCTGTTCTCTGAATTGACCAATCGTGAAGAGTCAGAGGTTTGGTCAACCTCCGGTTGTGTCAGTTAGGCAACCTGAAAGTGCAAACAAGTCTGGAAAGATTTATATCCTGTGTCCTGGGACCAGATAAGAAAACTTTCCTGCGAGGAATGTGTGAGTTTCACACACAGGGTTGTCTTGATTGCTACAAAGATAAAAACAAGGGAATTCAGTAAAGCAGCTTCAAGCCTGGGAGCAGCATCTCTCATCATCATCATCATCATCATCATCATCAGAGTTACTGAAAACATCATCAGCTTGAACAGAGGAGAGGAAGTTCACAGCGTCAAAGGTAGTAAACAGATCCAGCAGGAGTGAGGATAGTGGATAGTCCTGCTGATAGTGGATTTGGCTTGAGTGAACACAGACTTGAATCATAATTTTTGGTGGTTCAATCCCCAGCTTTAAAGGTAACTTAATTGTACTGTAAGCACAAGCCTGACATTCAAAGTCCAAAATCAAAGATTCCCCGACAAGGCGGGATGATAATACCAAAGTGACAGATTCAGCTGTTTTCCCTCTTTAGTACTGTCAGCATAGATGGCAAGAAAATGTCACTGTCTTAGAAAGAGCCACTGAAATGTGGCCACATGTCCAGAAATATGTGGCAGATGTTAAAGCTGCTAAAGGGCTGTTTCTGTGCTGCGGAGGGCATGGAAGCCTGATTGGAATGGTTCATAGAGATTGTTATAGGATAGGTGGGATTTGGCTTGGGTTGCAATGATGTGTTCCAGAGTTTTAAACAGAAAGTGGAGGTTGGAGAGGGGCCAGAAGTTAGTCATATGGTCATGGTTGAGTCCAGGTTTTTTGAGAATGGGGTGATGGCTGCAAGTTTGAGGGATTGGGGATCAGAACCAGAGGTGATGGAAGAGTTGATGATGTTGGTGATGAGAAGGGCAAAGGCTGGTAGACAGATTTTGAGGAGGTTTGATGGTATTGGGTCCATGATGCTGGTAGAGCTCTTACTGGCGGTGATGGTGAACAGGTCAATTGGGGATATTGGGGAGAACTGGGTCAGAGGCTGAGCAATAAAGTGGAGGGATTCAGGTGAAGAGGCAGAGGTGGGAGTGGTGAAGGGAGGCAGAGAGGGGGTGATGAAGCTGCTGTAGATAGTGTCGACTTTGGATTATAAGAAGGAGAGAAAGGAATTGCATTTTTAGTGGTGAAGGATGGGGAGATATTGTTTGAGAAGTTTGAGAAGGTTGCTTATTGTGGAGAAAAGTGCTTTGGGCTTGGAGGAGCCAGACTGAATTATTTGAGAGTAGTGAGTGGACCAGGCTGCACTGAGAGCTTGCTTGTATTTTTGAATGAAATCAGTGTAGGCTTGAACTGTTAAACAGTTTTTTTTTTAATGGAGTCTTTCCAGATGGCATTTACAGGATTTCATGTGGTAGAGTACAGGAGTGAACCAGGGGGCAGAGTGGGTGAAGGAGACAATTTTGGTCTTTAAAGGGGCCAGTTGGTTGAGACAAGGGGAGAGTGTGTTGTTGTAGTAGGTTACAAGGTCAGAAGGGTTGTCAGATAAAAGGGGAGGGTAGGTAGTGCTGTGACAAGTTATGGAGGCTGAGAGAGAGGATGGGGAGACTGATTTGATGTTTCTGATTGAGATGTTGTGTTTTCGCCTTTGAGTGGGGATGGGGATGTCAATGTCCAGTTATAGCAAGGTGGTTAGAGATGTGGAGGTTGAAATTTGATGTTCGATTAATTATGAGACCAGTGGTGCAGACCAAGTCCATTATATTTCTGTGACTATGGATGGGAAAGTTGATGTGTTGTGAAAAGTTGAAACAGTGTAATAAGTCCAGAAATTCATCGGCAGATTTGCAATTTGTGTCACCAGTATCGAAGTTAAGGTCACCAAGGAGAAGAACTGAGGGTGAGGTTAAACAGGGCCAGGAGGTCTTAAACAGGATCAGGAGGTCTGTGAAGTCTGTGATGATGGGTTCGGGGGGTCGGTAGATTAGGGCAATGACTGAGGGAGAGGAACCAGAGAGCTTGAGGACCATGTGTTTAAAGGAGTGAATGACTTGAGGTGGGGATGGAAGTTATTTAGATGTCCTTTCTGTAGACAGCAGTGAAACCACCCTCTCGCCCATCAGGATGGGGTTTGTCTGTGTAAGTGAATCCTGTGGGTGTTGTTTGGTTTAGGGTGAAATAGTCCATGGGCTTGTGCCAGGTTTTGGTTAAACAGAGAAAGTCCAGGTTATTGTCCATGATCATTGATTATTCTAAGTTCTTGTCTGTCAGTGAATTTCGGCTAGAGATATAAGATTGATTAAAGTTTGACTAAATGTTTAATTTTCTTTTTTTCCCCTTTATTTTCCCTCCAATAAAGGTGGGTGGTGTCCCTGTAAACAAGTCCATAAATGTCATAAAAGATTATTATTAAATATTAATCTTAAGACATTTATTATAAATTCAAATTGATACATACCCAAATGTTGGTATAGAGGAAAATCCTGGAAATACAGAGAACAATTTGGCTTCAAATTCATATAATGACGGGAGGCAGAGTCACATTTTCCATACTACATACAGTTAATGGTGATAACATTGTCAAGCTTTTGAAACCAAAGACAGAGAACAGACAAACACTGAGATCTACTATGTCAAAATAACTTTTACCTCAACAAAACCTTAGAAGATCTTACACCAGTGTGGGTTTGCTTCTTCTCCAAATTCCCGCAACAAGTCAGTAATCTCTATCTCATGGGCTTTTTGCAGATCCTCCCTCCCTTCCTCCATTTCCTCTTTGTCCATTTGTTTTTGGTGTTTTTTAAGTAGGGTGGTGACCTTTTGCACATTTGCTCTCTTTTTGGTAATACGCTTTACGGTGTCATAGAGCTCAGCTCGATGTTTCTTCTCTTGTTGTTCTGAAAGTGCCTTTAAAAAGTCATATTTCTTGTCTTTGTCCAACATTTTTTCCTCATTCTCTGCTAATTCCCTTTTGTATTTCTCTTTGAAGTCATTGAACTCTTCAGCTTTCTTTCTGGCTTCCTCTTTGTGTGTTTTCTGAAGATTCTCCATTTGTGTCTTAAAATTCTCCTTTATGGCTTTCTTCTCTTTTTCCTCTTGTTGCTTTCTGAGCAGGTCCTCTTCTTGTCTTTTCTTTTCATTATTTTCTTTTTCCTTCCTGTAATCCTCTTGGAGATTATTCAGTTTGGTTTGTTCTTCCTGTCTTATCTGTTCATTCTCTTGATACCGGTCCTCCCACCACTGATGAAGCCTTTTCTCCCAGTTTTCTCTTTGTCTTTTCATTTCTTGTCTGGCTTCCTCTAGCTCTCTGTCTATTGTTTCCTTTTCCTGTGTTTCTGCTTTTATCCTTTCCTCCATATCTGCCTGTTTCTGTTCCCACTCCTTTCTTTGGAGTTCTTCCAGTTGTTTCCTTCTCTTTTCTTCTTCTTGCCTCATTTTCCCATCTCTCCTTCTCTCTGCTTTTTCTTTGGAGATGTTTTCCTCCTTTTCCATTAGAACTTTTTCTCTCATCTGTCTTTGCTTCTCAGTTTCTGCTTTGTGTTCCTCCATTCTTTTTTTCAGTGCCTCAATTTCCTCTTCATGTTTTCTTTGGAGTTCCTTCCTCTCTTTCTCCATCTCTTCTTCCTTCTCTTGAAGGATCCTCTCTGTTTCTTTTCCTATAGCAGTTCCAGCCCTTTGCAGCATCTCATTGGTGTAGCAGCTGCCTCCGTTTGTCTTCACCATTGTGTCAATCTTTGCTATCAGCTCACTGACCTGCTCTCTGTTTTGTTCCTCAAGGTTATTGAACACGTGGTATCTTCCTCCACAGTCAGCGATCAGTTTCTTAAAGGAATCATTGCATTTCTTATCAATGAATTCCTCAACTGACATTTTTACACGTTTTAGTGAATCTCCTCTAGTTAGAAGGATGATGATGAATTTTTCAGCTTCCTTTCCAAAGCCTTTCTTGATCAGTTGTATCGCCTGCTTCTCCTCAGGTGTAAATCTGCCTATCTGTAACACCAACAGAAAGGCATGTGGTCCTGGAGCCAGAAGACTGATGCATTTTAACATCTCTTCTTGAACCTCTTCATGGGACAAGCTGTCATCAAACAGACCAGGAGTGTCGACCACAGCAACAGAGCGACCGTCCACTTCGACATGTACTTTCTTACAGCATTTGGTGACTGAATTTTGGCTTAATTCAGCCTTAAACTTCTCATCACCTACTATGGTGTTTCCTGAAGAGCTCTTTCCACAGCCAGTCTTGCCTATCAGCACAATCCTGAGACTCTCTGGGCTCTGCTCTCCATCACCTGTGGAATAAGGAGGGCCAAGAGTTAAAGAAAGGTTGGCAGGTGAGCTGTGATAGACTTTGGTATTATATAATCAACAAACATATCAGTTATCACTTATCACATATTTGACTTGATTAATTGATAAAATGTTTTACTCTGCCTGTGCTCAGTCTTGAATGGCCGGCTTAGAAAACCTCTTGAATTATTACTAGGTGAAAGTGTTTTTTTCAATAAAACTTTGAATACCTACACCCGGTTGTAGTTTTTGATTGCAGGTCCTTTAGCTCAGCCTGTAGTGTGTTGACCATATCCATTTGGGCGTGTGCAAATGTTTGTGTTGTATAGCTAAGTAGGTTTTTTTTAAATCCACCTCTTTTTCCTTCTAAAATGTTCAACAGTTCTGGGATCTGCTTTCTGTCCTCGATGTTGAGAACAAAAGATCTTCCCCCAGTGCTCTGAAGGAGCTCCTGGATGTCCTTGGTCTTTATGACATAGTTTTCAACAGCTGCAGCTGTATTATTTGAACGGACGATGAAGAGATTCAGGATAAAGTCATTGACCGAAGAGCTGAAGGTGTCCTGGATGGTCTCTAACTCTTTCTTGTCTTCATCAGTGAGTTGACCCACAGGTAGGACCAGGATAAAGGCATGAACACCCTTTGGATCACAGAGGGAGACACACCTAAGTGATTCCTCCATTACCATGTCTAGAGGTTTATCATAAAGGGCAGGAAGCTCCACCAGAGACACACAACGTCCACACACATCCTCCTGATGTTTCACACACTCTGATGAGCTCGAGACTGAATCAAGACCTCTCTGACCTAAAATGGCCTCTGCTGCTAAAGTCTTCTCTGCTTCTAGCCTCCCACACAGGACCAGGTTTAACGCTGGTTTCATGTGTTTAGACTTTTGTCTCATGGACTTCTCAGTGAAGGTAAGGAAGGTCCCTTTAGTTTCATGTCTTATGTTCTCAATGTTTGTCATTAATGACCTGCGGTCTTTTTCACTCATGCTGTAGTGTCTACCTTGACAGTCTTCAAGTAAACGTCTAAAAGGGACATCTGTCCCCCTCAACTCATGTGTGCTGATGACCACTGAGTACTGCAAAGCATCCTGGTCAAACAAGCTCAGGATGAACTTCAGTGTCAGTGCTCAGGATGAACTTCAGGGTTTCACTAACAGCAGCAGGACATTTGGTCCTGGAGGACAGAGACTCACACAGTGTCTCATCACTTGTCTCACTCTTTCCACCGACAGACTGTACATTTCTGGAGTTTTCACGACTTTGATCCATTTCCCTCTCCATCTTCCGCTGGCATCCTCACACTGCTGGTTTGCCAAGGCTTTGAAGAAAGAAAACTCTTCATTCCAAATGATGAAGTTTTCAAGGGCTGTCTTTTTTTCATCACTCTTCCCAAATAACACAATTCGGAGATCATGTGCTGAAATCAAGACATAAGATTACAGAGTTGCCTTAAAAAAGTTGCTAAAACACATAATCAAATACTTTAATTCCTGCTTACTTACCATGGTATGGCATCAACCCTGCAAAACAATTGAAAGTTACTTTTGATTCTGCAATAGTAGTGTGACAAAATATTGATATGGCAAACTATTGCGATATTTAACATAGCGATGGATTATCTATGTACATTCACCGTATATCGATTTTCTGTTTTATCATTAAACTATATCTGCTCTACACTTCTTTCATGGCTCCTCTGCAGTGATTCGAGTCACTGTTTAACATGTCATCCAGAGGGTGCTCCTCACGTGAGTGAGTGAATATTGGGTCAAAGCCAGAGAAGGAGAAAAAACGGAGTGGCGAAGTTAGACTGAAGGATGCACTGACGTTGTTTAAATAAAGAGTATCTTTTGTAGGACTTTGCAGTATGCAAGCAGTGTCTCTCAAAAATTCGCCACATGGGCGGCACAACGAACATGCACAGCCACCTCGTTTGCCACCATCCTGAGCAGAGAAAACTGTACCTACTAGTTCCTCCGCACAGCCAAGTGTTGACTTTTTCTTTCAGACTAAGTCTTTGTATATTTGTAAGGAAATTGTGATTTTTCTATTCTCATGCTAAATATTTTTTTATGTTCCTACTTTATAGATTTGATCTTCTTGAGAGATACGAGATGTCATGTTAGTGCTAATCTTTGTTAGACACCCGAAAAATATAGTGTTTACAGTTATGTTGCACTCAAACACGGTCTTTGTTTTTGTGCTATTGCTGGTTGTACTGTGATTAATTTATGCTACAAAATATTAATTATAAAATTTATCTTATTGTTTTTTTTCAATAAATGCCCTTATAAATACACAGATATATCATAGGTTACTCTGAGCAATGTGTCGATAATCGCAGAATCGCCATATCGAGTTATTATCGTTATTGTGTGCCCTGTATCGCGTACCGTATTGTGAGGTATCATGAGATTCCCAGCCCTATTGTACAATACAAACAACTAGAAAATTCCCTCTGGGAGATTTTGAAAGGGCCATGGGGACTACTGCCAGGGTGTGTATATTATAGTAAGATTTTAAGGAGATTTCAAATAATTAATACTGGTAGCATTGTGATATGATATACAAGGAACACACCTACAACAAACATAAATTTTTCAAGTATTTATTTAAACCAAAACAAAAACAGAAAAATAACTTAAAGGAGCTAGAGCAGTAGATATTGTTTTTGTAGTCGACTCTTTTTGGGACCATTTACTTAAAAGCAAATTTTTTTACACAAAATTCATATACAAGAGAAAAAGGTAATAGCACACTTATCCTGATCACACTGCACACTTTGATAAATAATGTGTCCTACAACTCTCTAAGCTGTAGGACTAGTAGTAAATCTAAATTCGCCCAGGAGAGGAACAAGAAAAAACCCACAGTATAACAATAATGCCTCGTGGCTTTGCCCTGAGGCATTATTGTATAGGTGCCTGCTGTATAGGCGCCAGTGCCTTTGTGTGTTTGCCCCATGGCTTTAGTAAGGATTCTGATTGAGAGTCAGCATTTTATTGTTAATCAAATTGCTTAAAAAGTTATTCAGTGATGCAGAAATATCAGAGCAGTCCCTGATTAGTGAATTGGTCACAGCTGTGGTCCTGGCCAGAAGCTCACAAGTTGCCATGACAATAGATGCACCTAGACTGAGGCAGCCAAAACATCTAGAACACCGTGATTTTTTTGCCTCAGCGCTGGACTCATATTTGGGCGTAGTCTGACAAAACGGCTGCTTCTATCAGAAACTCAACTCTTCCAACCATAAGACTAGTAGCGAATTGAAATTTGTGCGGAAGAGGATTAAGAAAAACTAACGGGGGCTACTGCTGGGATGTGTAGTCTACATAATAATGAGATTCTTCACAGATTTTTAAATGATTTATACTTGTAGCATTGTGATTGTGTATGCTTTCAGTTTACTTAATGCACTTTTAATAGATATATACTTGAAGTTAATGTTAAGTATATTTGGCTTGTACTAAGAATTGTACTAAAAGTCTAAATACATTTAACCAATACTTTTAAATAAACTTCTGATCAAGATATACTTAAAGCTGGACTAGGCAGGATCTGAGGAAGTGCCAGTTTTTGGGAGAAATCTTGAATGTAAACACTACTCCTCTCAACCAGTTTTCCCCTCAGCTCCTCCTCTTCCCTCCCTCTCTGCTCCACTAAGCCCTGCCCACAAACAGACGCTCCTGCTCGCTTGTATCGTTTCAATTAAATTCTGATATTATGCAGATAAACACTTCAGATAATTACAAATGGAGCCCAGTCAAGGTGAACGTAAAAAACATTGGTGCTAGTGTAGATGCAAACAGACTACCAGCATACACAATGTTTGCTAGCCTGGTTGGGCCATCCAGTTGCGTGAATCACTTGCCGGCCAAAGGAGGATTTAGACAATTTTGCATACCTTCTGGTTGATTTCTGCTGTCTGATATCGTGGCAAGCTAAGTTTGTTTGGGCTCGTGCACGTTATTTGGGGATGTGGAGTGTGCCTCACAACATGAGGGAGCAGGGTCCGCCTCACAACCAATCAGGTTGGGGGAGGCGGAGAACGGCTTTGTTAGAATAGAATAGAATAGAATGGAATAGAATATTCCTTTATTGATTCCCCATGGGGGAAATCTTTTTGCCACAGCAGCATCACAGACAAAGATAGTGCAAAAATGCAGTTATAAAAATACAGATCGTTATATTAAGAACTTAAATAAATGTTATAATTGAGAAAAAAAATTGAAAAAGGAAAAAGGGAGAAGAAAGTAAAACTATATACAATATACACAATTTAAATGCCAGAAAAAAGTGGTGGAATGACGCCTGGTTCACACAGGAAGCGCTGCGCGCGGAACGGAAGCGCCGCGCACAGAGTTTCGGATCGGCGCCTGTGTTAACCTATGTGACTGTTCGCGCGCGGAATGGCTATTTTATGCGCGAGCCGCAAGCACCAATTGTAAAGCTGGACAGAGCAGATCGGACCAGGCAGGAAGTCGGGAACAGGAGATGCGAGAGAATCCGGTCAATTTTCAAAATAAAGTATATTTTAATAAATTTGAAAAAAAGGATTTACGGTGTTGCTTGTCGGTCTATTTTTTCCGATAAACATGCATGCACGCACGCACGCACACACACTCACACACACACACACACACACACAGACGGAGGGAGAGCTGCAGAGATTCTGTGATGTCAATGAGACAAAGGAAGGGGACTTTATTACGATAGAGTCAATAGCCTTGAGCTAACAAGGCTACACATACAACGAAGTCAACAAACTCCCCAATTAATTTATTGTTTACCCCTATATAATAATTTAAAACAATACTTGAAGATCCTCCCAATATTTAATTTATGTATGACGTAATAAAAACGTAAATAAATATTGATTTACCCATGTTTCAAGCGCTCGTAAGTGTGGAGAACTGAGGGCAGACGGAAACAGCCAAGCACTGCCGGGCTCAGTCGATGTCTGACCGGCGCTTCAGAGCGCAGCAGAAAACGCTTTCTGTGTGAACAGCCAAGCGCGTGCGCGCCAGCCTCCTGTGTGAACCAGGCGTAAGTCCAGTTTTATTACAGTTCCTTGTAAAGTCTTATTGCAGAAGGGGGGAATGACCTGCGGTAGCGCTCCGTCTTGCAAGGTGGGAGTCTAAGTCTGCTGCTGAAGGAGCTGCTTAAAGCCCCCACAGTCTGGTGCAGTAGGTGAGAGGGATTGACCATGATGGATACAAGCTTTGCTAACATCTTCCTCTCACCCACCTCCTCCAGGGAGTCCAAGGAGAAGTCCAGGACAGAAGTGGCCCTCCTGACCAGTCTGTTCAGTCTCTTCCTGTCCCTCTCGGTGCTCCCTGCCCCCCAGTCCCGAGAGGGACAGGAAGAGACTGAACAGACTGGTCAGGAGGGCCACTTCTGTCCTGGACTTCTCCTTGGACTCCCTGGAGGAGGTGGGTGAGAGGAAGATGTTAGCAAAGCTTGTACTGCATAGAAAAGTGCAGATGCTACCACAGAGTCATAGAAAGTCCTGAGCAGAGTCCTGCACACGCCAAAGGACCTCAGTCTCCTCAGCAGGTGGAGACGACTTTGGCCCTTCTTGTACAGAACGTCTGTGTTTGTTGACCAGTCCAGTTTGTTGTTGAGGTGGACACCCAGGAATCTGTAGGACTCCACCATCTCGATGTCCAGACCCTGTATGTTCACTGGAACTGTTTGAGGTGTCCTCCTCCTGCGGAAATCCACGACCATCTCCTTCGTCTTACTGGCGTTGGGCTGGAGGTGGTTTGTGCCACACCAGTTGACAAAGTCAGTGATGACAGTCCTGTATTCCTGCTCATCCCCCTGATGATACACATCCGAAGATGGCTGTGTCATCAGAAAACTTCTGGAGGTGACAGCTCTCAGAGTTGTAGCAGAAGTCTGAGGTGTACAGGGTGAAGAGGAAGGGGGAGAGCACTGTCCCCTGTGGAGGCCCTGTGCTGCAGACCACCATGTCCGACACACA